GGGGGGGGGGGGGGGGGGGGGGGGGGGGGGGGGGGGGGGATCCCGTATAGAAGTGACGGGATGCTGATCGTCTCTCTTAAGGGGGTAAATTGTAGATTTTGGTCTCACTTAAGTGGTCAGTGTCAGCTTAAGCCAAACCATATTGGTCTCCCTTTCAATTTTCCGACGAGAATCCCCGTCACTTTCATATAGGAGTCCCCATGGGTTACAAAGCTTAACATGGAGTCGTTTTCTTAGTCAGTAAACTTGTCTTGACAATGTCTTTCCTGTCATGTATGTATGTACCCCAAACCAAGTCAAGTATACCCCCCCACTGATTATTTGAAAATTGAATCCGTTTAACTTAGTAGGTTCCGATTTGAGATTCATTTCTACATACCTGTTACTAAGTACATGTAGTAGCACCAAAAAAAACGGCTTAAATTTTCATATAATCAATTCATCAATCGAATCTTTTGATTGGGGTGCGCTTTACCTGGTTTGATTGCTAATGTGTACCCGTCGGAATGTTTGATGACAATTTGAATATCATGAATGCGCGCATTTACATGTGCGATGCCTAATAGTCTTTCAACAATTTTTCTGTTACTTTAATACTGCTCTTGAAGATAAACTCGACAGATGTGAAACTTTTCGAGCGTTGTTGATAACAGGAACTTGTTAGAAAGAAAAAGCCTATTTTGTTAAATTAAACCAAAACTTGGTGTCTACAGGAAAGGGAAAAACTCCGGGAAAAACGTGCTGATAAATATTTCTGTCGCATATTTTTGTCTAGTACAATCAATGGTTACTTTGGTTCTGGGATTATGACGGACACTGGAATCATCCTAAACAATCAAATGGCAGATTTTTCCATACCTGGTGTACAGAATGTACAAGGCGCTGGACCACCCACGGTAAGAAACCCGCCACTGGCTCGAGTTAGTTCTTTAAAACTTGTCAGCGTCCTGTTTGTTATGCAGTCTTCCCCGTTTGAGGAGGATTGCGTGACGAACCAAGTGCTTCTTATGCGGGAACGTCAGCGAAACTGGGGACGTTTACAAAAATAGCCCTTAACGATCATTCTCCAGTAACTGGAAGCATACGTTTTTATGCGAACTCCTGTGGAAAATGACGTACATCGTCATCATTGTCAAGCTTTGAAATGCATCGTTTCCTTTGTTTTTGTTTGTTTGTTCTTTATTCGCCACGGCTACTTTCAAGCTGTAGGCAGGATGCGTGTCATGTTAAACCTGATTATGATTATGACTATTAACATGTAGTGAGCAAACGTCTAGAAGTTATAATTTTAATGTTTTTATATTGCTCAGTGTACGTTTTTGAGTGGTTGTTTGTCGTCTGTTTAGGCTAATTTTGTGGTTCCTGGCAGACGGCCTCTGTCTTCAGTGGTACCAACTGCAGTTCTTCATGAAGAGGTACAGTAGCGGTGATTACTGTATTGTATAACCATGGTTGGACTGAAATTGGGTATAGTTTTCAAGGGATCCATGAGGGCGTACAAGAGTATTGTCTCACACGACGTTCAGTATCAAATAGTACTAAATAATAAAAAGTGCGTAAACAGTATGTTGACTTCTCTTCGACATGGTAATGGGTAAATTGAGAAGAACTTTCAGAAGACATATCTGAAAACCGTTAAGTTTTTTAATTTAAATTTTATAGGTCAGGTTTGAAAACGCGTTTGTAAAATGGCACGTTTAAGGTCTAAAGAAGAGTCAGGATTTAGGTTGGCAGAACTGGGCGGCACATCCCACCAAGAATTCTGAAGGGTACCCCTCTGAGCTTCAAACGCCTGCTGTGCACGTTTATGTTGTTGAGGGATTCACGGGAAACGCTTTTCCTGAAATGCTCTATTTTCAACAGGGTTTGATAGTCAAGTGAGCACAGCGCCGCCCACATAGCAAGAGATGCTCAGAATTTCTAATTCCCATTCTGCCCTGTGTTTTATTTCTTCAGAAGCGATGTTGGCACCGAATGTCCGTAGGCTGCTCCGGAGGTTTGCAGATTCCGTCGGCTGTAGCGCAAGTTTTAATCAATAAGGTTGCGTTTGAAGACTCATTGAGTCAATCCATTGAAAGAGCTAGAGTGTATTACGGAGTAGACACTGGTCTGACAGAAATTGAAGGTATGCTGTCGGTACTTTCATTGTCACGCTTCTACTCTGCGCCACGTTTCGTAGAGAGCTACATGTATTTTGATTTCTTCTAATTTTTAATTTTCTGTAAGATAAATGACTGCTTAGTTAGCATCAGACCAAATCCGCTCTGTCTTTTCCTTTATTGTTCTTGATTCTTTTTTACTAAAGTCTTATCCTTGGCTTCTCAGTGGTATGTCCCCCCCTCCTCATACAAGCGTGTTAGCCTGCGAATACTGCCTCCGCTGAGGTCGTTTCGAAAAACGTACCGACGGTCGGGAGCAACGAGAGAGGTTGTATTGCAATTTGCAAGCTATTTTGATATATTCGAGGCTTTGTTAACAGACAGATACGATTTAGTCACAGCTTAGTGACTATACAACGTGGGATAATATAACAGTACAATTTTTTATTATCGGGTAACAAGTACAGGGAAGTATACAGCATCAGTCGGATTCCCTGGCACACAAACTTATGAGAAGTCGAGCACAATGTTGGCATAACGGTTCCCTCTTCTCTATTAGCACTAGTGTTCCTCTTATTACGTCCTATTCGAACTGAATTAGAAACTGAAAATCTTGCTCAATGTATTGTGACATCAAATGATAAGGGAAAAACATTACCAAGATAAAATCACCTGACCCTTTTACTTTTTCTCTCCGCTAATGCTGTATAAAGACCACTGAGGAAAGGCTAGTACGTGTATTGACTTTCGGGTTTACTATTTTGCAGGTAATAGGTTTAAAGACTCCAAACTTAAAGCCCTTATTGTGCAGAGTTTGCGTGAAAAGGGACATAATGTCACGGATAATAAGGCTTCGGTAACAGATGTGAATGGTGTATCTTATTTTCAAGAAAAGATCTCAGCTCATGCGGACAGTAGAAGAGGCGGAGCACAAGGCAGTGCTCAGTTTTGACTGCTTCATTGAGTTGTGATAATGAACTTTAAAACTTGGGGAGACCTTACGCATACATTGTGAAAGATTGTTAGACTCGTATCCAGTCGCTATTTAGGTGGCTCTTTTTTCTTTGTCCCTTCCCTAAGTCCCTGCGCACCTCAACCTAACCCCATTCTTCTCTCATGCCCAAAACACGTAAGTAGCGACTGGGTACGAGTCTGAATGATGGTGGCAAACCACCGCACGATAGTGGCAAGACTGTGCAGCCGTTTAGGATTATTTGAAATAATAATGAAATTCAAATATTTAAAGTGCGGAATAAAGATCTTCAACAAGTACTCCCTAAGCTGTGTACATAACTGCGATAATTATGTTGCTTCCTTTTGAAGATGTTTAATTTAAATTATTTGCAGTTCTTGTGTATCCTACACGGGTATATTACGAATGTGAAACATGACTAGCACTCCACGTGGTCTGAGCGAGTTTTTGACGGCAGTTCGTCTCGGATACGTCACTAGGGAGCTTAAGCAACTACGACGGCAAAAAAGCAGTAGAGTTAGACTGGCAAAACAACAACTTTGCACGTGCATCACGCTTTTTTGTACATTTCTTTGCCTTATTTGCACGTCTACGACGTGAAACTTCCTAATTTCATGTTCTATGGAGGACGGGAACACAAGACAAAGATTTTCTTTTCCTTTTGTGAAGCGAGATATAGTCCTTTAGAATTCAACTCCTGAAAAAATTACCATCCTACGACAAAGTAGAAGAGTTGGAATAAGGGCGATGAAATTTAAAACAGCGCGAATTCTTTTTTGGGGGGTGACGTTTTCGCTGCCGTTGTCGTCGCTTAAGGTCCCCGTACAGGGACTAGGCAATAATTCAATTTCGACCCTACTCGCCATAGAGTCTGTAGTAGCTCAGTGATTAGAACATCCGAGTTAGAACTTGGAGGGTCGTGAGTTCGATTCTCACCCAGAGCTCGGGATTTTTTTGTGAGCTTTCTGAAGTTAGAATTCTCCTTCTTCCAAATTACATCCATGGTAAATTAAAAATGAGAAATTCTAAAAGCCTACTATTGCTAACACATTCTTACAAATACACTCATGGGTTATTTATTCGCAACAATGAAGTTACAAGAGATTTGTAATATCTTATATAAAACTAATATTCCAATAGTAAAGTATTTGCACGTTACATTCCTATGATGTTATTCATTTCCCTGCCTGCAAATCCTTGTCCGTTGCTCTTCTCATGTATAGCAATTGTTCCCGTCAAACAAGACGATTGTCAAACTGTTCGCGTATTGACTAAGTCCCTGTCCGCACTAATGCGTTTTCAAAAGTACGCGTTTTCGTTGTCGTGAAAAATGCATTGATGGATTCGCGTCCACAGTACCGTTTTGATGCGTTTTCGACCGTCCACACTAAAACGTTCGAAAACAAGAGAATTGCACGTTGTGACGTGAATAGAACACTATGCGCATGCTTCAAACACGTGCCTATACATATGACGTCATCGTTTTTCACTCGGCCGTTTTTGACCGTCCACACTAATACGATGTGTATGCGTTTTCGTTTTGATCCACTTTCAAGAGCGTTTTCTCATCGATGAGTTTTCGACGAAAACGCTCAGCGTATTAGTGTGGACGGAGGGCCTAAACGCATCGAAAGGTATGCGTTTTAATCGAAAACACATTAGAGTGGACGGGACCCGAATCAGTCTTTTTAGCTGCTTGGGCTGTTCGTATCGTTGGATTTATGGAAATGGACTACTACCCATTTTCCTGATTGTTTCTGCCACACCCGTGTTTCTTCGGACTGTCGTGTTAACGGAACACCGTCACTGTTAAAGTAAAGATGATGACAGTGATATTCACGTCCATGAGGAGGGAGAAAAGTGTGAAACAAAACAACTACAAAAACAAACCATAATTTTTTTTGTGGATAGTAAATATCCAGCTTTTAAACATTTGGCGCCAGGAAAGCAATTTTCATAGGCTCTCTCCAGCTCTGTTTAAGCGGGAGCATTTTCCCAACTGCGCCTTACAATCGATCTAACTCTTTATCACAAAAGACCATTTTAAGAGTTTAGGGACAGTTGCTTCTATGAACGAAGCGAACAGAACTTGGGCAGTTTTGTTTGCTTCGTAAGTGACACGCGCATTTTTTGGCCTTTATCAGCGAGGAAAAAGTCAGGATTCCTTGTACTCTGCGAGTCCAAACTGCATTAACTTTCTGCAAAAGGCTTAATAAAGAAGCTAGTTTCTAATGAAACTGTGGCGTTGTGTCGGAAGCACAAAAATACGGTAAAGGGATTGTGTTACCTGTTGATGAACTGCTGAAGTCGGACATAGCA